ATGAGAGTCAGGTTGGATTAGGAGTGTGAGTGAGAGGCTTTAGAAAATGATTAAAGAATTCAATGCAAAATGGCAGGATGAAAATTCTCCACTTCATTTCTACTATAGTAACTGGCCCTTCTTCTAAATCTGTGATGCTTCAGTGAAGATTTTTTGAATCTCTTCCTATGAAATATCACACTTAGAAGACAGAATCATGTCCCAGTCTAATCAACTGTCCAGGTAGTAAGATTGGTAGGAGGGACACTTGTCTTAGTCTCATGAGACTAAGCAGTGATTGATGACAATGACATGAAAAGAAAAAGAAAAAAATCATGAGGTTCCTTGTTTCTCCTCATGGTTGCACGTTGTTTCAATCATGACAAACACTGGAAATTACACAAGGCATGGTAAGGACATTTCGATATCTGCATGAGACTGGTATTTTAATGACATGTGAATTCTTAATATTGAAATAATTCCATAGAGATTGTCATGTGAGGTACATAGATTTTGGGTTCACCAGAGCCATCTATATGTTTGTTTGAAACAGTATCAACATTTTTTCTGTGTCTTGTGCCTAACATTTCTCAATATGAGGGTAATGGCAGAGCCTAAATGACTTGGGATCCTTACCCATCTTGTGTTTGACTCATCTGAGAAGAGGAGGTGAATTTTCAAGGTGAAGTCTATGCTGACACTGAAGGCCACTCCCCAGCTCCTTGTCCTTGTAAAGGAAATCAGTCTCCCTAATCTCACCTGAAAGATATCAGGACTTATCTTTATGTAGGAGGGACAGCAGAAAAAGAACAATTTTACCAAGAATCACTGACTGGAGAATAAATATAATTAACCAAATTCCATGAAAACTCCAACAGAACAACACAGAAACAAATAAAAGTAACTTTAAAACCTTAAGATTTGCCATTTACATCTTAAACACTAGAGAACAAATTCTGCTTTCTGTGTTATAAATCAGAAGGATAGAGACACACTCATGCTTCAGTTCCAAAGGAGAATGCATCTGGCCCACAGCAAACAACCAAGAAAAATGGTCTTCCTCTGTGGCCTAAGGAACTTGGAGGATTGGCATTAATAAGAACTGAATGTGCAGAATGTGTTTGGTACACGGCAGCAAATAGACTCTTTTGGTGGCTTCTCTAATAGGAACAGACAGATAGGTAACTCACAGGCAAGGTCTGCATGTTGGTTGCTTCCTGTATAAATAATGAAGTACTGTGATATTTATCCTAAATCCATTCTCAAGTCTCAATTTCCATTATTAAATCTGTCTATCTGAATTCTCCAGTAAATATCTCCAATAAATTCTCCTAAATACCTCAACATAATGGCCTTTTTCATGGCTGTGTTTAAAGATCCATAGTGATAAATGCTGTTAACAGTGTTAAATGTGTTAAAAGTTACTAAAAATGATATGCTGTCAAAGATACTTATGTGCTTATGTCCTTAAGTCTTGACAGAGAAGACAGAACCTGGGGAGAGTAAGTGACTTATTAGAGGTTAGACATATGGTGTCATCCAGATCTTTCCACTGGGACCTCATTTATGCCTCTCAAGGATAGCTCCTCTTGCTTCAGCTCCCTCCCTTTTTGAATCCCCACTCCATGTCTTCAACAGCAGGGATATATTGTGTGCCTTTGGTGCCTCATCTCTACTCTTATTTCACAGAGGTGGCCTCTACTTTACAAACTGGGTTTGTTTGCAAAAACACTTCAATCAAGCCCCAGGAGGGTGTGTAGAAACCTGGTCTTCAGGAAACTATTCTTTGTGTATCTGTGCCAGGTCCTGGTAGATCCCCAATTCTCCACATTCCAGCTTTTACAAAACTAGGGCTCTTTCATCTTGTGGTAATGGCCTCTCTCACCTCTCATCACTATTAGAACTTTTGGGCTCAAATCTATCCAGTTAAACAAAAGAGGCAGGGTGGCAGGATTGATTTTCAACATCTTTCAACAAGATTACCCTTTATTTATTCCACTAAGACCAAGATTGCCTCCTCCACCCTGCCTGTAGCTGGGACTCATCTGCATACAACCAGTTCTCTAGGGTTTTGATCATAAGCCTTGATTCTGCATCCATCTGTTTCCTCACCCATGACTTCACAATCTTACTATACTCTTTAGGGCACAGAACCATGTCACCTGAGTAGATGGGAACATCACCATCAGATGTGATATTTGGCCAGGCAGAGGACCACATAATTCCAGTATCTTCATTGAAGACTGAACTTGCCTTATTCTCTTGGGCTTCTCAGTCATCTCTGAAAGCCAAAGTGGCATCATGACTTTCACTTTGAGGGATAGCGGGAGAAAAGGAGAGTGGTTAAGGGACCTCAGAAATGAGCAAAAATGCTTGTAATCAGGAAAGATAAAATGGGGCAGAGGAGCTTCAAAGGAGACATAATCTAAACTTCCAACCCTGGCCTGATACAGGAGAGAGGTATTTGAAGAGAAATTGAGAATCTGCCTCCATGTTTTCTAATTTGAAGTACTAATGTCTTTTCAGAATTTGCCAAGTTCCAGAAATGTTTTTAGGTGCTGGATGTATATATATTTCAAGGAAACAATGCAGATAAAACCAAACAGTTGAAGTTTATGAGAGACCTGGTTGGAAAAAGAAAGAAAAATTGCATCTGTAGAGGTCCACTGATTCACATGAATCATTCTCACTAGAGTAAATTCAAATTTACAGTCAGATATATCCTTGTCTGATTCTTTGCTTCAAGGACACATTGCTTCCTTGGGCAAGTTTCAAGTTTCTTTAAAAGACGTCATCAATGGGGCCTTTTCTCCCCTCATTTTAACCTCAATATCTCAACATTGAGTCAGTCTTACAAATTATTCTTTTTTGACACAGCAAGGGTGTACAGAATTTACACAGATTACAGAGTCAATACACCACTGTCTTCTGTGCTACTCAGATAATCTTTATGTAATATTTTCAACCCTCCAATGCCATTCCATTCCCCAGACACTTTAAACTTCCTCTGTCTCCCTTAAAAGTTTTATTTCTTCCATTATCCTCATTCTTATCAAATTTACCTTTCAATGCATTTCTCTTATATTATTGAATCCATTGCATATAAACTATATAAACTTCCCCCATATCTTTTCAACTATAGCATTTTTCTCCTTTTTTTCATTTAAATTAAATTTATTTTAATTGATGCCCAAACATAAATAGTATACCTATTAATAGAGTAAATAGATCTCTTGATGTATATATTTCTAATATGTTCTCTTTTGGCTTTTTGAAAAAAAGTTCATTACTGTTATCTATAGTCTTCCTACTGTGCAATGGTGCACCAGAACTTCTTGTTCCTATCTAAGTAAAGGCTATTACTAATTGATCAATCAAAAGCTTTCCATTTCTAGCCCCTACACGTTACAGCTTATGGTAATCACAATTCTAGTCTAATGTTCTGAACTTTTATGAGGTCAACTCTTTCAGATTCAATGTATAGTGAGATCAGAAGACCCTTGTCCTTCTTTGCCTGACTAATTTCACTTAACCTAATGATCTTCAGGCCATGCATGCTGCAGCAAATAAAATATTTCATTCCTTTTTACTTTTCACTTTTTTTGGATGAAGAGTATTCCATTATGTAAATGTACTTCATTGTATCCATGTATTAGATGATGGACACTTACATTGTTTCCCTTTCCTAGCTACTGTCAGTAGCACTGCCATAAACATGGGAGTACAGATGTCTTTTCAACATCCTAATTTCATTTCCTTTGGATATATGCTCAGAAGTGAGTTGCTGCATTATATGTTAACTTTTTATGGAGTCATCTGATAATGTCTTTGTATTTCTCTGTAAAGGACAGTTTTGCCGTATTCTGTATTTTTGATTGGCAGATTTTTCCCTTGGTTCTATGAAAATTTCATGGCACTCACTTCAGGTCTACATATTTCCTGTTGAGAAGTTCACTGTCAAGTAAGTTAGGACACCCTTATGTGTTGTTTATTTCTTTTGATTGCTTGAGACTCCCCAAGAAGGATGCATCTTCCTTCACGCTGGGCTGCTTGGATTATGGGAAAGGGCAACTCCTATTTTCCCTTCTCCTTCAGTACTCCTTTTTATATTTATCATCATAAAAGCAGGCACTTACCTGGTTTCTTTTCTTTTCATATACTGGGTTAATTTTCTCCTATCAAGTTTTTTGGTGTGTGAAAAACTGTTTATGTGGTGTATTTGTGGGAGATCACTTAATAAATATCTTGATCTGAGTTCTAAACTACATGATCTCTTACCACAAAAAACATGCATTAATATTTTATTGCTTTCAACATTGATCTAGGAGCACAGTGTTAAATTTACCTCCCAATATGAGTTTATACAGAAATTGCTTGAAACAGAGATGTTGAGAGAATCTACTGTAGTACTGATGGAAGGATTGTGACTCACAACATTTCACTCACAGTTCTCTGGCCCTTCCTACCAATAAACTAAGAATTGTGATGTTTGAATCTGGAAAGGAGAATTGCAACTTTCCAGTAGCCCATAAATTCCCTTGTGATGTGTTTAATCCCTGTGCCTATATACCTACTAACCCAGTGCAAAAATATCTATGACTCTACATTACAAACACTCAATTCAACCTAGGAAAGTAGGGCCTCATTATTGTTTGTTCTTTGAAAATCACTGCAAACAGAGTGTGTATGCTAACTTGTGTGCTAATCTTAAAAATAGTAAATTAGAGAAACAAAATTATGCAGATTGATTTTAAGTTGAAATACTCTACAAAAAATATCTTGTCATACAATAGTGGTGAGTAGTGAAATGACACTATTAGAGATTTACAAGACAAAATGAAACTTATAGAATTTCATTTTATAAATGAAATCTATCATTTGCTGCTATCCTTGATTCCACTAATTGAGGGAATGACCTCTTAGTCCTCTCTGGACAATTCATCTCCTGTTCCCCCAGGGATCAGACACTATTTCCTGGCAATTTCCATTCTTTTAGGTAGTGGAGAATGCACTGACCATACCTGAGCAGATGACTCCTGCATCTTTAGAGTGCCCGCAGTTGTTCTTTTCCCAGACCAGGGCAGGGCAATTCCATAAGGAGTCCTCCTCCCCTGTGCAAGCCATGTCTGTCAGCCAGATGGGCCCTGATCCCTCTCCAAATTGTGCATAGAGCAAGGCATTGAAGGCCACTCCACAGTTCATTTGTCTGCACACCACATTCGCATCATTCAGGTCCCAGCTATTGTGACAGACAGTACCCCAGGAATGCTGGTGAAGAATCTCCACTCTGCCTGCACAACGACTGCCCCCGTCCACCAGGCGGAGCTGTGGAGTCTCTGAGGAGAAAAAATCGTGTCAATGATTGTTTTTACAAAGAGAGTGAGAGGGGTTCTCTTGTCATGTGGTACTCTCTCCCCCACCAAGCAGTTTGCAGAATTACTTTCAGAATGAAGAGGTTGCTGTATAAGATATGGATCATCCATTATACTAGGGCAGCAGCTAGGTCTCAGTTTCTACCATAACATGTTGGAGAATTAATTGTGAAAAATTAAGAAATGGAATTAAACACAACGTAATCAAGTGAGTAGTCTTAGGTAGAAGTGATGTAGATCTTATCAGAGTAAAACTTGTTATTGGTAGATTTCTGCATATGATGTGGCAAAACAATTGGAGAAATGGAGTAGCTCAAAGTGTATTTTCTTAATGATTTCTAAGATTTAGTATAATAGGCCAGTATCTGAATTGGTTTCTCATAAAGTACATACACTTGAGTACCCATGGCCTGAGATTTGGAAGGATGAGAGCACAGGGGATGGAGTAGGAAATGGAGATAAGATCATCAGGTGTTTTAGTTGACAGCCATGAATCCAGGAAAAAAATGCAATTAGATAGCCATTAAGACTGAAAAATAAATGGATCATAAGACAAATCAGAGTTAATGCAATATATTTCATTAATGAGTTTAGGCTTCATAGTTCAAATATGGAAAATTAATTTGTGTTTAATTTGTAGATTGGGCAACCTCCCCAAATAGATGATGTCAGGTAGTGACATTGCCCAAATGCCACCAGGAATCATAGAATGTTACTTTCCCCCCAATATATATCTAGCCTGTGATTGGACTTCCTGTCAGGAGTTCTTGATGAGGAGGCAAATAGCAGAATAGAAGTACCCTTTTTGTGACTCTGTAAGTAAAAAGAGGCAGGGAACACAGGGGAAACTGTATTCTGAGAAGAGAAAGAGGAAGAACACTGGGAACCAATACAGAAATGATGAAAAATATTAATGATATGGAGAAGCATTAAGGCATCCCAGAGAAAAGTACAAGGCAATTTATAACTTCAACTATCTTACCTGTGGGAGATACACATGATTCTTACAAGCTTAAGATCAAGTTTGGGGAGTTGTTCTTAGAAGGACTTCTCTTCCAGAACAAGGAAGCCTTAGAGAAGGAATTGATCATATTGCTCAACAAGTTCTCAGAATGCTGTAATGGGTGCCATCTTGAGAAGGCATTCTTTTAGCCCCATTGTAGGGGCTAAATTGTGCTGGGATTATAAAATTTGGATTAATCATACTTCAGTATCTCTGGGTGACTCCTCCACAGTGACAGGGTGGAAGAGTGACCACCTCAGTCTCGGATAGGAAGAGTGACTGACAGAAACACACTGAGATAGTGGCACAGAAGGGACTTGCAGTCTCATTGATACGTGGTTCATGTGTCCATAAAAGGAGATGGAGTGTGAAGGAGTGCTTCAAAGGGCGAAAGTCATTAATGGAGAGGCCAGGATGTTATCTCAGTTGTGTTCAAGGATGCTGGCAGCACCAGGAACAGGAGACAGAGGAGCCTGGTGAGCCTGGTACTTCAGCCTTCCTGGATGAGGGGGAGTGACCAGGCTGGAGAGAGGCACCAACTTACATGGGGCAAATTTAAAGTAGCTGAACATGGATTAAAAGAAAATAAATTGTTGAAAATAGAAATATTCAATGAGTTGGTCAGAAAAAAGAAAAGAAATGTATGTTGAAAGGGAAATGCAGAACCTTTAAATAATAAGGAAATCATTGTTTTCAGAGGACAGCCAGATTTTTGTGAGAACATAAAACTGAAGGGGACATTACAGTTATTAAGAATTTAGAAGCTGTTAGGCTCTCATTTCCTTCAGGCCCCATGGAATGTTTTCTGGGAGAGGGATGAAGTGGGCATATTAGTCTGAGGTAGCATATGGATAAAGGCTCAGAGGAGGTAGTATAAACCAAGACCTCTGGGATTGTGAGGAGATTACATTCAAGGTGAAAATAAGGGTAATCAAGGTTCCTCATCTCACAGCACTCCCCCATGATATGTCAGATGAGAAGAATAACAGCTTTTAAACAGGATTTTTATTGGGCCCATGCTTTGGAGAGGCCTCCAGCTCTTCTTATACTTATTCTTTGGAGAGGCCTCTAGCTCTATATACTAATCATGCATCTCTTTCCCAGCCTCCTCCTGCTCTGCTCATTATGGGATTTATCAGTACCTCAAGGTCACTATGCTCCTCCCACCTCAGTATTTACCCTGACCAAATGCTCTACTTCTTCCTGCATTGGACCTTTACTCCTTCTTTAGTTCTTAACTTAAATATGAATTTTCTCTTACTCAATGTACATATTTCTACAGCACCTACCATGCCTCATGTCATTTCAATTTATGCATGGTGTGTGTACAATAAGTGTGGTGCAAACATTCACCCTCTTACTAAGGAAATACAGTTTAATTAATATAACAAGACTGCGTTACCCAAATGCTTAGAAAATTTATCTGAGTATAACTTCATGCTCCCATATTCTCTGTTCAGTCTCTCTGATACTTTTTTCATAAATTGCTATGATTGCAGGCTTCCTCACATATGCCTTTGAAACAAGATTGCAAGAACTGAATCAAGTAATCTCTATCCAGTATTCATTTTGTAGAATTCATTCATTCATATTTTGTAGACTTATTTCAACTCATAAATTATGTTTGAATCTCAGAAGTCACCCATGAAATGTGCATGACCCCAACTGGCATGGAAGCCAGTGGGTAGGAAAGTCTGGGAACTCTCAGTGGCACTCCTGCTATTAAGACTGCCCAATACGTGAGAATTCCTACCTAGATTTGCCATAGGTTCCACACAGCACAGGAGATGGGGTGACTTGCTGGAGCCACATAGCCACACAGCCTCTCAGAGATGGGTGGGGCTTGCCAAGATTCCAATCAACCTGTTATTTGCAAGCCACCATGAAGAAAGACTCCACCTGCCAGAGCCTTATTCCTGCCATTAATGTACTCTCCTTTAAATAAAGGCCAGGGCCAATTTCTTCACATCATACACACCCTTACAATATCAACCCTAAATGTATAACAGTTACATGCAAAAGAAAAGTAATTAAACATGTATAACACATCCTTAGTGAATATCTTTATGATCTTATGGTAGAAAAGTTCTATTTAGTGTACAAAAAATGTTGATAAGCTGTGCTTCATTAAGAACAATACTTGACATTTGAAAGATCATATTAAAGAGAGTGAAAGTAAAAGGACAAGAGTTAAAAACCATATACTAATACATACATATATGCACCAAAAACTATTATCATGATAATATGTAGGATCATTATTTGAGAAGTCAACAAGCATCAAATCTCAATATCACTTGAATTTATTAATACATGGTCATGTATTAATACTGTCTGCTCTTAAAGACACATCACTCTAATACCAGTCAGCGCTGATCTCTCTTACCTGAGCAGACCACAGAGGCTGTGTTTCCATGGGCACAGGCAGGAACACCCAGGGCAGTCACAGGGCAATTCCACAAGAAGGACTCAGACCCTGAGCAGTGAAATCGGTCTCTCCAGATCTCATCTTCTCCTTCCACAAAGTATGCTCCCTTTGGGGTGGAGATGGCAACTCCACAGCCCAACTGACGGCAAACAACATTGGCATTGGCCATATTCCAGTGGGAGGCACAGAGTGTTCTCCAGCCTCCAGAGGTCTTCATCTCCACTTGACCCTCACACTGAGAGCTGCCATTTTTCATGAGCCGAACATCTGTATATCCTGGTAGAAGACAGGGCTTTAGCAACATCACACATTTTTCTTCCCCCCCCCCCCACCCCCCGAGAGTGCATAGGGAGATTAACATCCTGTTGTGAGTCTCACCTGAGCAGACAACTTGCACAGCCCCTCTCTGGGGACACCTTCCTCCAGGACAGGGCACTCTGGGGCAGAACCAGAGCTCAGGCTCCTGTCCTTTACACTGGAACTCTTCAGCCCAGACCTGTTCACTGTCCTCTCTAAAGGGCAGGTTCCCCAAGACACGTGCAGCCTTTCCACACCCCAGCTCTGCACAGATGACCTGGGCCACGGGGAAGGTGAAATTCCCATCAGATACTGGAATCCATCCTCCTCCAGAATTCACTTCCACTCGCCCAGAGCAGGGTCCACCTCCTCCATCCAAATGCACAAATCCTGTGGAAGAAAGTAAGTAACAAAATGAGTACCATATCTTGGAGTTGGGAGCTACATGTCACAGGCAATGCTTGAGAGCTTTCTTTTCCCCCAGGGTGTGGTGAAGGTGTTCAATAGTTGGTACCAAAATGTGAATTTCTTGAGCAAGTGTGTGAACACAAATTTATGAGGAGAAATTTAAAAGGTCAGTTCTGAATTATTGACTCAATAAATAAAGATCTATCTATCTATCTATCTTTATATGTATCTATATATAACATATATATCATATATATATGTTTGTGTTTGCGTATGTGTGTGTTTGTGTGGTTGTAATATGTGTGTTTTTATTTTCTTCTGTATGAACATATTATCCTTCTTATTAAAAAGATACCTGTGTGTTTGTTTATATATCTGTCTCTTCTACCTCCATTTTTATAGGAGCTATATCTACCCACTGAATTTGAAATCAAGTAGAAAAAGACTAGACTTAATTTTCACTATTTTCTTCTCAAAAACTTTATTCATTAAAAAATTCCAACTAAGTTAACATTTGTTAATGAGTGAAAAAAATTCAATATGTATAAAAAATTGAACATTTATATTTATTTCCCATTTAGGCATGAGGAAAGAGTCCAGTAAATAGTGTGAGAATGAGATGAATCCAGGTTATCTTGACTAAAATAATCAGGGTTCTTTACATCATATTTCCTATTAATGAAGATAGGGGAAAAAATTTAGAAGAATGATAAGTTAAAAAAAGAATTTATCAAGAGATTTGAGCATTTTTTTGCCTTTTTGTTTTATTTTGTTTTGAGGGATTATTTTGTTATTAATAAGTAGAGTTGGAAGAAGCCATTAGATCTCTATCAAAGCTGATCAAGAAGGGGTTTTAAGTGTAGGTTTAGACCTTTGGGCAGGCATCCCACCACAAGTATGGAAAAGTTATGTAATAGTAAGTTTATGTGGTGAAGAAATTCTGCAGAGAAATCTTGCTGAAAAGAATAATATGATCAGTGTTTATTTTTCCAAAGTAGATCTTCAAAATGGAACAAACATCAAAGCATTAATCAATTTTATTAAAATTTTTACTTAAAGCATTATAATTAGAATACTTTCATTTCTCTCTGAAACTGATGTATTAATATCAAGTGTGGATTTGTGACCTTGTGACTACAAGGTCATTTTATTTTATATCATTATTACAGAGGAGTGATGACAATCTACCTTACTTATAAAGTTACAATAAAAATACAAAATTTCAAAATGAAATCACTCTACTTTAGGATGTTATGTTTTAAAAAGCATGAGACTTCTGCAGGGCATCATAAAAATCAGCTATCAATATTGGTGTCCAGTGACAGGAACAATAAAGATCAGTCTCCAGAACAGAAACTATCACTATAGTCTCTGCCTGTGGATGCAGCCAGATGTTTTTCTGTGTAGATTCTGGTTTCCACTTAGTTACATCTCCACACTAGGGATTAACACCGTCACCACCATGAGTTGTGCATGACTGATTATAGTTCTGGATCAATTAGATACACAAATTTGTCTGCAGAAACACTACTTATTTTTCATTTTCTTGTTTTTCATTGTATATGATATATTTCTAGCTCCCAAGATATAGAATGTCTCAATAAAGGTAGAATAACATTAATTTTGAGTTCTATCTTATAGAATTCAGTGGAATACCTGATTATAGTGTCATTCAGTTGAAATGTTATATGGGAATGTTTTTCTTAGGCACTGGACTAAGAAAATATTGATATTTCTATTGCAATATCAAAACTTTGTGAAGAACTTTTGCATAATTTTCATTAATGAAAATAGAAACATTTCAAATAAAGAAATAGATCATCCAATTCAGATTTCACCTTTACTCTTCTACTCTTTACAGGTCAGAGAGACCTAATACAACTGTATTCTGAGGGGGTGAAGAGCAAAATTCATTCGGTACATGTACTCATACAATTAACTGAGCATCTGTCATTGTGCTGAACAGATCCTGAGGTGTTCAGAGGGCAGTATTGTTGCAAACTCAACAGTATTTTAATTCATCTTTAAAACTATATTAATTGTTTATAATTTTCTAGGCATTTTTAATGAACTAATATACATCCAGAATCCTTTAATCATTTTATTTTTAAAAATACTTGTTGTACAAATTAGAGTCAGCTACCATCTATACAGAGATGATCCCCACTTGTTATTCTTAGGGGTTGAATTACTCTGTTGCATTTAATATATAAAATATAAATAGAATAGTCAAAATATATATAATATAAATATATAAAATATATAAAATATAAATAGAATAGTCAAAGTGTGGTTCAGGAGCAGGTATACATTCTTCTGTAATTCCAGATACATTGATTCCAGATGTAGGTATTTTTATGGTCTACATAGTTCTTCAGCTAAGTAGGCATTTCTTATATCATAGTGGTTTAGAAATCCTCATTACTTCTATTTGCAAAAATACATACCAGTTTTGGTAATATGTCGATAGTATAAAGGGATTTGGAGATAAAAAATGATTTCCCTTACTCATCTGCATTACCAGATGGTTGAGGTAAATAGTACCACCATTTTATTGTCTACTTTTCTGTGCACCTTTCTTGCTTATACAAAATACATGTTCAAATAAAACTAATGTGTGCAGGGTGCAGTGGCATATGCCTGTAATCCCAGTGGCTCAGGAGACTGAGGCAGGAGGATCATAACTTCAAAGCCAGCCTCAGAACAGTGACACTCTAAGCAACTTAGTGAGACACTGTCTTTAAATAAAATATCAAAAAGGGCTGGGAATGTGGCTCAATGATTAAGCACCCCTGAGTTTAATCTCCAGTACCCCAAAAAACAAAACAAACAAAACAAAAAATTAATATGCCATATGGAACCTATTATTCAGTCTGAACAATCTATAGTCACAAAATCCCAGAGGTCTGAATGTTGAAGTTGATTCATTCGGGCCACTAGAGTATGAACACATAATTATCAATTATTTATTCAGAATAGACCTTCTTCTTGAATCACGAGGAAAACCTATATGAAGGCTTGAACATTATTTAAGAGGTCTAAATTGGTAGAATTTACCCAGAATGGTCATTTTTCAAGTCTCTTGAAAGAATTGACATGCATCTCTCCCTCTGAGTTTTAAATAGCATTTGTATCAGAAGCTTCTTTTTTTGAATTTTGAGACATATCATGAAGCAAATCTAACTGAGGCTTTTTTGAAACACAAAGTTTAAATATAATATTCAATGTTGAGTCCATAAGCCTCATTTCTGTACCCACCGATCTCCTCGTCTATCACTCCACAATCCTACTATTCTGTTTAGGGCACAGAACTGTGTCACCCTAAACAGAGTACATGGGAATGTCTCCATCAGTCATTGTATCTGGCCAGGCAAAAATCCATAAATTTCAAGTATCTTCCTCAAAGACCAAACTTTCCTTGTATCATTGGGCTTCCCAGTCACTTTGAAAGCCAGAGGTGGCATCATGACCTGCCCATCAAGGCACAGCAGGGAAAAAGAGAGTGGCCACTGGAAGCCCAGTATGGTTAAAAATGCCTCTGACTGGAAAAGGATAAAAATGAGGCAGAGAGGTCTTCAAAGAAGACACAATCTAAACTTCCTTCATAGTCCTAATGTAGGAAATATGTATATAAAGGCTATTTTGAGAGTCTCCTTCTATGTTTTCTTATTCAAAACATACCAAAACTTGGCATGTTCTAGAAACATTTTTTTTTTGGTTCTGGATATGTATATTTCAGGGAAATAATATTCTTATCTTTGTGAAGGTTCACATCTAGTGAGGACATAAAGTTTCAAGTTATAGGAAAAAATTATGAGACCTGTATAGAAAAAGAAAGTAAAATTCCATCTGCAGAAGTATATTGAAGTACATGAATCATTCTCATTGGAGCAAATTGAAAATTACAGTCAAAGTTTTCCCTTGTCTGATCTTTTGCTACATAAACACATTGCTTCCTTGGGAATGTTTTGATTTTCTCAAAAATGTGTCATTCATGGGAACTTTTCTTCACCTATTCTGACCTCAATGCTACAACTGTGAGTCACATTTGCAAATCATTTTTCTCACTTTGTACAGGTAATGTGTACAGGATTCACACGAATGTAAACAGATTCCGTCCCCACCTTACACCTAGATTCTTAAGCACGGCTCAGATAATCCTTATGTGCTCTTTGTCACCCTTGTTTTGCCATCCACCAGATACTGTAAGCTTTCTCCATCTTCAAAAAATTTGGTTTATCTCCTTGTTCCCATTGTTTTCAAATTTACCTCCCAACGTACTTTTCTTGTATCATTGAACCCATCAGATGTAAACTATATAATCTTCCCCCACATTTCTTCTCATTTTCTTTTTGTTCCCTTAAATTTATTTGAACTGATACCTAAAAACACAAATAATATACATTTCAATGGGTAAATAGATGTGCTTGTGTATGTATACATTGTGTTGTCTTTGTTTCCTCACACACTTTATTTATTTTTGTTGAAAACTTCCAAATGCTTTCTTATGGCTTTTTGAAATGTAGTTTATTATTTTTTCTATAGTCACCCTCCAGTGCAGTGGTGCATCAGAACTTCTTGCTCCTATCTAAGCAAAAACTCTTATTCATTTGTCAATCTGTAGCCTTCTATTTCCATCCTCTGTGCTTTCCAGCCTGTGGTTATCACAATTCCAGTCTCAAATTCAATATGATCAACTCTTTTAGATTTGACATATAGTGTGATTATAAGGCACTCTTCTTTCTTTGCTGGAGTTATTTCACAAAACATAATGATCTCCAGGTCAATGCATGCTGTAGTAAATAAAAGGATTTCATTCTTTTTTTTTTTTGTCCTACAGAGTATTGCATTGTGTAAATTTACTTCATTTTATTTATCCATTTATCAGTTGATGGACACTTAGGATTCACACAAATGTAGATTCCCTCCCCACCTTATACACAAGGTCTTAAGCACTTAATTCCATTTCTTAGCTACTGTTGGTAGAACTACCATAAGCATTGGTGTATAGATATCTCTTCATCCTGATTTTATTTCCTTTGGATATATGCTCAGCCATGGATTGCTATATTATATGGTAATTATTTTTGGGAGGGCCCTCTTATAATGTATTTATATTTCCTTTGTCTGTAAAGGATAGTTTTGCTGTGTTTTGTATTTTTGATTGGCAGGTTTTACTTTCAGCTCTATGAAAATCTCATGGCACTTACTTCTGGTCTATATGTTTTCTGTGAGAAACCTGTCATCAGGTGAATTAGGCCATTCCTATGTGTTTGTTTCTTTTTGATTGCTTGAGACTCTATCTTTCATCTTTGGGAGCTGTATTATAATATGTAAAGAGCCCAAGTCTCCAGGTCAAATCTAGGTGCCCAATTAAATTTTTAGCCCCAAACAGAGACTAAACTCTCTACTTTATTCATAGTGTGCTGTCTGGGGCTTTGGGAAGCAACGAGGAGGGTGGTCCTATGGCCACCAACACTGCAATGCTGTCACACACTGACGCCACAGCCTGCCAAGGCAACATAGAACTGGGGAGGGACCAAGGCCCTCAATGCTATGAGCTGCCTACTGTTGAAGTGGACTGATGGACCAAGACTCCTGCAACCAGCCTCAGGTTCTTCTTGAGTCTGTTGAACCAGCACATAGGTCTTGCTCTGCCTGTGAGCTGTCCCTAATTCTTAAAGAGTGCTGAGTATCACTATGGTGGGCCTGGCACTGAGCTCCAAGACAAAGTCCTGTGCCAGCCTTGTGCCCTGCTCCTTAGCAAGTGGAGTCTTGCTTCCCCCTCTGCCAAGGCAGCTTGGAGGAGTGGTGGTGGAGACAGTCTCTTTGCTACCTGACTAAACACAGTTCCAGATTCTCAGTCTGAACACACTGGTATAGCAACCAGTGTTGGACAGTTCAGGGCACCAGGTTTCATTCTGGCAGGACTTGTCCCAGATTTTAAGTCCATGGCCTGAGCTTAATTTCTTTTCCAGTCCACAAGAAGGATGCATCTCTCTTCATGCTGGGCTGCTTGAGGTTGGAAACTTTTAATCTTCCTCCCTTTTGAATACGTCTTTCTTTTTAATATACTAAAACAGGTACTCACCTGGTTTATTGTCTCATATCAAGCTAGTTTGGTGTGTGAATAGCAGTTTACTCAGTGTTATTTGTGGGAGATCACTGAATAAATATCCTGGTCCTAAACTACATGATATCTTACCGTAATAAACATGCATTAATATTTTATGGCATTCAACATTGATTAGCCAGGGCTGGGTTACATTAACCTTCCTAAGTATGAGTTTAAACAGATGTTGCTTTTAAAAGGAAATGTAGAGAAAATCTACTGTAGTAATATTACTATAGTAATAAGGAAAGCCTGTGACTCAGAGCATTTCATTCACAGTTCTCTGGCTTTTCCTGCCAATGTGTTAAGAATTCTGAAGTCTGAATCTGGAAAGGAGAATTACAACTTTGCAGTAATCCAAAATTCTCCTGTGAGGTGTTCAATCCCAGCCCTGTGCCCATAAACCTATTAACCCAGTGCAAAAATATCTCTGGCTATGGCTATACATATATAAACACTCAATTAAACTGAGAAAAATAGAGCCTCATTTTTGCATGTCTTTTGAAAAGTGCTGTAAACTGGGTGTATATGGTAATTTATGTGTAATCCTAAAAATAGTAAATTAGAGAAACAAAATTATGAAGATTGATTGTAAGTGGAATAATCCTATAACAAACCCATCTTATCAAGAAAGAGAATTGAGAAAGGAAAGGATAATATTTGAAGTTTACAAGAAGGGAGACAAATGAAGCCCGTCATTTGCAGCTATTTTGAACACTCAGGGTCTGTGAAAGAACCTCTCTGTCCTCCTTGGACTGTTCATTTCCTACTCCCCCAAGGGTAAGACACTCACTTATTTAGAACTTTTATTATCCAGTACAGTGGGGAATTCACTGGCCATACCTGAGCAGATGACACCTGCGTCCAACTTGTGTGTGCAGTGGTGTTGCCCCCAGCCTAGAGAAGGGCATTTCCATACATGGGATTCCTTTCCTGTGCACTTCAGGTCATCCAGCCAGATGGGCCCTGATCCCTCCCCAAAGAGTGCCTCGTGCACGGCATTGAGGGCCTCACCACAGCCCATTTGTCTGCACACCACATGGGCATCATTCAAGTCCCAGCTGAAGTCACACACAGTGCCCCAGGAATGCTGGTGAAGAATTTCCACTCTGCCTGCACAGCGACTGCCACCATCCACCAGGCGGAGCTGTGGAGTCTCTGAGGAGAAAGAATCATGTCAAGGTTTGCATTTACAAAGAGAATGAGAAGGGTTCTACTCCCTCCCACAAACTAAGCTTTCAGAATGCAGAGTTTGCTGGGTAAGACATGGCATTGTCATATCTGGGCAGCAACTAGGTCTCAGTTCCTACCAAAACAAGTAGGAAAATTAATTGTGTAAAAAAAAAAAGGAATTAAACTCATTGTAATCTAATAAATAGTCTCAAGTAGAAGTTAGGTCCTATCAGAGGTAAAGTTGTTGTTGGTAGAGTTCTTCATAAGGTGTGATAAAATGTTTCTAGAAATGTCAGGATTCCTACTTTGAGAAGTTGAAAGTATCTTTTTTTAATTTTTTTTTGGTGAATGATCTCTGAGATTCAATGTAATGTGCCAGCATCTGAAATGGTTTCTAATAAAGCATGCATGCTCAAGTGTCAATGGTTTTAGATTTGGAAGAATGAGAGCACAGCAGATGGAGTAAGAAATGGGGATGAGATCATCAGAAGTCTCAGGTGACCGCTATGAATCCAGGGAAATACATAATTATATAGATATTAAGACTGAAAATGAATGGATCACAAGGCAGATTATGGTTTCCTTCAAAATATTTCACTAATGATTCTACATTTCAGAGTTCAGATCTGAATATTTTATTTCAAATCTGTGTTCACTTTAGGTAGACTGTGCAACCTACCAAAAATATGATGTCAGATGCTGACATTGCTCAGATGCCACTAGGAATCATTGAATGTTACTTTTTAAAATAATGGCTTGGATTTCCTGTCAGGAGTTGTTATTATTCAAAAATAGGAGTTCTTAATGAGGGAGGGAAATTGCAGAATAGAATTACCTTTGTTGTGACTCTGAGAATGAAAAGAATCAGGGAACACAGTGGAAACTGTATTCTAGGAAGAGAAAGAGAGGACTTGGAACTAATTAAAGAAATTATTAGAATTCTAAATAATCCAGAAAAGCATTAAGGCAGCCCATAAAAAAGTACAAAGTAATTTACAAGATCAACTTCAGCTGCCTGGTGAGGGAAGGCAACCTGCAAGCATAAGGTAAGCTGGAGAGTGCAGACAACCCACATGGTGTCAGCAGAGCAGCAGTCTTAGTTGTGGGAGAAACACATGGTTCTTATAAGCTTTAGATCAAGTTTGGGGAATTGTTCTGAGAGAGACTCCTCCTGCACAACAACAGAGATTTACAGAATTCATGACAATGCTCAGTGAGCTCTCATAGTGCTATAACCAGAAGCTATCTTGAGAAAGGGCCTATTGTAGGGAATAAACTGTGCAGGGGTTAGAAAATATAGGTCAATTCAGGGTCCCTGGGTCACCTTGCTACAGTGATGGGGTAGAAAACATTATCATTCTACTGTCTCAGATAGGGACAGTACCTGTTGCAAACAAACTGAGAGGATTGAGTAGCAGGGAAGGCCCTGGAAGCCTCATTAGGAAGTGGTCCTTCCCTCTGTGAAGAAGAGTGATTCCATTCATATGTGCTTGCACATAGGGGAGAGAGCTCAGAGAACACATCTGATAGTTCACTGCATTCCCATATCCTCTCTCCACGGTGGAGCTCAGTGGTTTGATTGCTTACACCACTTTTCACAGGCATTCCAAGGATCTACCATGACTAGGACACTTCCATGGTCGATGGCTAGAGGCCTCTGGAACAAGTGTGTGCCAGTGTGTGCCCACCTGTTGGATTCACAAAGCACTTAAAGAATGGCTTGTGGTGACTTTGACTTCTGTTTTGCAATGCTCCCCAGGTTTGCTAACAGAATCCCTGTAGTGTGATGGCCAGCCCCATCAACCTTCCCTTAACCTCCATGGCAGGAAATGAGGAGCACAGTGCAGCCAGCATATCACATCAAATCCCAGAACATTTGGTAGGAAGAGAGAGGAACTACAATTGGTTTCTTTTGTAGGCTACTAACCCCACATACCTGGTTGCATTCAAATGTTAGCTCACCTGCAAAGAGGTGTCCCTAGTGTAAATATTTTACCTGGGAAGAATTTTTGACACATTTTAAATTATTTATATCTTATTATATTAAACTATTATTTATATCTTATTTTTTTACCATTGATTTATTTTAAAAATCTTTAAAGGGATTTTCTCTTTTTTATTTCTAATTTTTCTGTTTCTTCACATACATTTTTCTTTTTCCCATTCCCAATATTCCCCACTATTTATTTTTCTTCTTGAATTAATTTTTCTTTTATTAATTTTTTACTCTTATTAATTTATTTTCCCCCATCCATGGTTACTTCTATTTTAGTTGTTGTCGAGTATAAATGATCATTACTGTATTTATGTAGCCTGTTAATTTTATGTTCTGTTATTGTTGTTTTTTTCTTCTTTCTTAGTCATGATGGTGACCATATATGATCATATATGAAAAGCACACTTTAAAATCAGAAGAGACAAAGAAGGTAACTACATAGTGGTAAGTTGAAGATATAATGATTATAAATGCATATGTAATAGAACACAGAATTTTATAAAACAAATCTTATAGGATATAAAGGGAAAATAAACTTGAGCAAAATGCTAGTGGTATCTTAATATGTCATTCTCACTAATAGACTGGTCATCCAGACAAGACATCAACAAGCAAACATAAGGTTTAGATTACATTATACATCAAGTGGCTGTAACATGATTAGAGTATTCCACCCAACAGCTGGACAATACACATTATTTCATTTGCACATTGTGCATTTTCTAAGATACATTATAGTTTTGGATTTAAAGCAAGCATTAACCAATGCAAAAAATGTAAATAATTTATTGCATTTTAATGGACTACTATATAAAAATTATGACATAATGAAACTGAAATTGACAGAGAAATTACACAAACACATGCATATTAAATAATACACCTTTGAATAAACAATAGATTATTGAAAATATCTGTGGCCTGAATTTAAAAAATTCATAGAAGTGAATTGAAATAGAAACACAAAATATCACAATTTGTGGGATACAGTGAAAGCAGTAGTAAAAACATCATTTATAACTATGAGTACACACATTAAAAAAAGAATGGAGAAATTTCAAATAAATAATGTAATATTGTACCTCAATGTTCTAGAAAACAAAAACAAATGAAACCTAAATTGTGTAAAAGGAAATAAATCCTAAAAAATCAGAACTAAAATAGATTAATAAGGAACAAAAAGAGCAATAGAAAGGATCAATAAAACAAAGAGTTTTTCCTTTCAAAAAAAAAAAACAAAACAAAACAGAATTGGCACACCTTTAACAAAACTAGACAAAAGACAGAGTGGGAAAACGCAAGCATGTAAAATTAGAAATGGAAAGAGGATATTAAAATAGGCAGCACTGACATAAAGGCAATCCCTAGAAAATATTTTGAAAAGCTATTTTACAAATAATTATAAATTTAGATCAAGTAGACAAATTCCTAGATGCATATGTCCTACCAAATTTGAGGTATGAGAATACAAAAAAATCTAAACAGATCAATAATAAGAAATGAGATTCATACAGTAACAAAGTCTTCCAATGAAGAAAAGTTCAGGATAGAAGAAATTGCCTGCCACTTTTAAAAACTAAAACCAATGCTCTTCAAACAAGTCCATAAAACATAAAGAAAAGATACTCTTCCAAACTCATTCTGTGAAGCCACCAAAATTTGATAAAAACATGACAAGAACAAAAAGAAAAATATAGCCAAGTATCCTTAATGAATATAGATGCAAAAATCCTGAATAAGATGCTTGAAAATCAAATTCAACACTTTAAAAATATGTCATGAAAGAGAAAGAGAGAAAGACACACACACACACACCCACACACAAATAGAAGGTGGATTAGAGGAAGGAATCAGTTCCTTCACAGTTCATTTACACTAGACTTAAAAGACTGCTCCTGATTGAGGCAGATAACTAAGGGAATTCACTGAAACTTAATAACGGACAGTAAAAGAAACCGGAGAGACACAGAAAGTCAGAAACTTTGAAAATAATATCAGAAATAATACATCAGAGAAGCTCCAGTTTGGCTGGCAATAGCCACAGAGGTGGCTGCTGAAGGGAGGGTGTAACACATGCAGATAGAGAGAGGAAACCATGGTGGTAAAAAAAAAGTCCTGGGGGAGCCTATAGATTAGGAAACTGATCTTAAGAAACCCAGAGTCAGTGGAGGAAGTGGTTGAGTGAAAATCAACCAAAATCGCTCTGCCCATGGGCAGATAGTTCAGTGAGAACTAAAGTCACCTGCACGGGAGCCATTTGTAAGTAATTCAAGGCAGCAAATGGAGACAGAAGATTGGGAACTTGCAGAGGAAGTTGCCAGGGAACACAGCACTTGCCTATTATGATCCCTGGAATGTGTCCCAACCAGACTGACTGAAATAGGTGCGAAGAAAAAATTGCACCTGGAACATACAGGCTGCACAAGTCAAGGAGAGAAATCTCCCTTTATTGCTGGTGCTCCATAAGAGGTACTTGGAAGATGCCAATAACAGCCACACAGGAGCATCTACACTTCAGGGCTGATTCCTGGTAATTCATATTCATAGTGGTGAATGTGAAACCTGTGGAGGTGTAAGTTGCTACAACCTAAAAGTTGTTTTTACTGGAGGCCCCTGAGACCTAGACATCAGCCATGACCAGCATCTCCTCAGCAACAGGGGTTATGGATCAAATATTAAACCCACCACAGAGCTCCAAAGGTCAACCAAAAGTAAACCCCAGCTACTGGAACTTCCAATTTAGAACTCCACTGCACCCTCTAGAGAAATACCTTTGTTAGCACTCTCAAGTCTATTACACCCTATACTAGAAGATGGGAAGCTCAGAGCTATTATAATAAACTTTGGCTCCTAGCTGCAATGGCTGACAGCTAGGTGAGGAATACAAAGACCTAAACTTAACTTGATCCAAGGGTTGCAAAGCCCAGAAATAAATACAAAGAATGAAAATCCATCCCTGTGAGCAGTTATGATAACCTCAGTGGAAA